CCCGCCTGGATTTAAGCAGGGGAAGGCCAATAAAAGTTTGTTATTTCCGCTCGCCCGCTTTATCTAAAACAGCCAGACAAAACAAATGAAAAGGCTTTTGTAGAAAATCTTAATTGTGGCTGGACAGTTGTAAACTCATTAAGAGCCGAATTCCAGACAGTTTGCAGACCCGTCATTTATTACACAACTCTTAATGCTGATTCTTTGAAGTTGCCTCTGTCTGCAACAACAGAGGGCGTCCCAGCATCCCCAAATACTGCTTCAGGGATCAATTAGGGGCTTTTTGTGTGTATGCACACCAGAACGAGCTCCCTTTTGCTAATTAGAACTCAGCAAATCTTACCCTGGACTTTTTTCTTTTTCTTTCTTTTTTTTTTTTTTTAGGTGAAGCCGAAAGCATTTTTTTTTTTTCTCCCGCAGTTCTGCACATCCGTAAACTTCTTGCTGGCTCCCTAAGTTTTGTCTTTAGCCCTGCAGCCTTTTACACCCCATAAACGGTTACAGCAGTAATTTTCTTTTATTGCGCTGTGTGGCTCTGAATTTTCCTAACAACAACTTCTGCCAAGACCATAAGTGTGTTCCATCTTATTTTGCTTTAAATACATATACATATGTAAGCGTACCTCCGTAAAACAAGAAGGCTTTTATTGTTATCCAACATATTTGCTAACAAAGGTCGATGTGGCGCAGAAGTGTGCTGCGGCTCATGTTATGGAGGATATCTACTCTGAGCAGTAAGATGTCCGCCCAAAACGAGGGTGAATTTCATCACGCTCACAGACTTCGCTATTTTCTTTTGTTGCTGAGCTTGGTTTGGCTTGGGGCAGCGGGGGAGGGGTGGGTGCAACGGGGGTGTGTGTGGAAATCTTTCACTCCAAATAAACCTTCTTTCTGTTTTTAAAAATAAATCCTATTTTGTCTTTTCTGCTCTAGGCTGCTGCCAGCCCAGCTGTTTCCTTCGGCTAAGTCAGGGAGTAAAATTGACACCATAAATTCTACCATAATTGTCTGTAGAATTTTATCTGTATCTATATCTATCTATACATACATATACAGTCTGAAGCGCTAGTAAAATGCAACGGGTTGCTTTTCTTTGCCGCGGGACATTTAAAAGGGGAAAAAAAATCCCAAACGTGAAAGGAAAAAAAGGGTGACGTTTGAAACAACATATTTTGCATGGGCAATTATCTCCAGAAGGGAATTTAAAATGAAGGTGCTGGTAAGGCGAGCCTTCCACAGAGCTTGTTGAAGCACACTCAGTGCTGGACGTTTTCCTGGTGCAGGCTAATTAACCATCTCAGCTTAGATGTCGCTGTCTGAGCTGATTTACATTATTGTCCGCACTAAAGAACGTCGGACATTTCGGTTTGGTTCTAAATTCCCCCTCCCCGTCCGGCGAATTTATTAAAACGGCGTTAAGCCAGGAGTGTGCCCCCGCTGCCACGCGAGGGTCTCCCTTCTCGCCCTGCCGAGCGACCGCTTGCCAAATACACCCGGGAGCGGGGACCCGTGCCTCCTCTCAGCCAAGCAATGGCATTTAGGACCTGAATCTGCCCATTCAGGTTGAAAATAAGCCAAATTTTTCATCACCTGGGGTCTGTGTTCATAGAACCGTGGGTTTGCTCTTGGCTCAGAAATAATGCTGCTGCTCACCTCGCCCCTGCAGCTGCCCTAGACCTGCCACGACTGCGGGTGGGATTCGGTATGTCGTGGAAGAACCCCTCCTTAATAATCTCAAAACATCACAAAAATATAAAAGAATCAATATATTTTATTTGGCAAAAAGTTAAATATCATTTCAACACAACGATTTGGTCAGTAGGCCGTGAGGTAACTATTTCAAAATAGACAGTGTACCTTCTGCATCAACATAACTTCCCAGATTTATTTTTTTAAACCGATACAAATTTACGATAACCAAATGTAGGGTTTTATAGCGTATAATTTATTATCAATAAACTTAACCTTCATTACAATAACCATCAAATCATTCAATTAATATTAAAACGTAAACCATAGGTAGTTACCCTTTTCACATATACGTATAGCTCCGAAATCTGATAACTGCTCACTGGTGCAAAAACAATATTTAAGCTAGTCTGTTTATTTACTTTTTTAAAGATATAGATTATATATACAACCAACAAAGACAGTACTATATATATATATCAACTGTGCATACTAAAATTACTTGCTTCAATATTTTGAGAACCGTAATTCCTAGACATCCCAGACAAACTTTTTTCTACTTTTTTCTTTTTTTTTTTTTTTTTTGCATTGGAATATATAATATATATTTTACAATCAAAGGTTAACTGCCTAATTATACAGAAAAGACTGAATACACTACAGAGTTATACTCTATGCAATTTTTATAATAAACAACCTGAGTTCAAATTGAATTCTAGCTTACACCATTACATCCGGTACAGCACCCAAACACATAAATTGAGTCACAAACATAATTACCACAATAAAACACAGTGTTCAAGTATTAGAGCAGAGATCTCTCTGCCGCGCAAAGAGCGAATAAAATTAACTACGTAGACTAAACTATACAGTCCGTAAATAGTTGTGCATTATGAAAAGGTAGTTTCTTTATTTTTTTTTCTTTCCATAAGTGAAGAAACAGGTAGATTTATACAAGCCAGCTAAACAGCCTTTTCGTGCTAATGCCCCCTTTTTATTTCCTATTAGAAAATTAAAAGTCTTACTGTACCTCTCCTGGCAAACTGGCCTCTGTGACAACCAAGGTACAATCACAATCAGAATTTGCCATGGGAAAAAAATGAGGCCTGGACCCAGACGCATTGCATGGCAGGGCTCGAGGGGAGGATTTTTTGTTTTGTTTTTAACTATTTTCCTTTTTTTTTTTTCTTTTTACTTTATGCATTTTCAACTTAACCCATGTGTCTCCATCATTCGTCCTTCGCCCGATCTTTGTTGATTTTCTTCATTTTCATCCTCCTGTTCTGAAACCAGATTTTCACTTGTCTCTCAGTTAAATTGAGGAGTCTGGCCACCTCGTATCTACGGTCCCTAGTGAGATACATATTGAACAGAAACTCCTTCTCCAGTTCCAACGTCTGATGCTTGGTGTAAGGGCATCGCTTTTTCCTGGTGGACCTTGCGTGGAGCCAGTTTGCAGCTGGATTATCTACA